CCGCCTCCTCCTCCTCCGCCTCCTCCTCGTCCCTCCCCTCCTCCTCCTCCTCCTCCTCCTCCTCCTCCTCCTCCTCCTCCTCCTCCTCCTCCTCCTCCTCCTCCTCCTGCTCCTCATCCGCCTCCTCCTTCTCCTGTCTAACCCCATCCCCTCCCGCAGTCGCCCGTTCCACGGGCGGCGCGCTGGCTGATGCGCTGGCCAAGGTCACGCAGCACCCCGGGAGGGCTACGCAGCAGCGGCACGATCCTCCTCCTCCGATCGGGACGGGGGTGGAGGGAGGGAGGGAGGATGACTCGATGGAGAGCCGGAGGGAGGCAGGATCCGCGGACTGGGACGCAGACGCGCAGGCAAATATCGAACGGGGACGCTGAGCGGCTGCAGCTCGATGCTGGGGGCAGCCGTCGTGGTGCTGGCACCTGTGGTCGGCGCTGAGGGTGGTGAAACGGGTACATGAACCAATAGTGCGTCATTCGGGGTGCGCAGCGTGGTGCTCACTAGGATGTAAGACAGCACTGTTGCGCACAGCCCGAACCCGAGTACTGGCCCAGTCATGCGGCCCCACGCAAGAAACTGCGTTCCGCGGCCAGTACCGGACAGTTCTGCGGAAACCTGGGCGTCGTGGCGTCCATGTGGACTGGTGACCTGCATGCAGCCCATAGCTGCTGTTGCCCTTGCAGCCGGGCTCCTACAGGGACTCACACGGCCTGGCGTTGGCCTCATTGTGCCTGTGGGCGCCGGGGGCGAATTGCCCGCTGGGTTGCGGAACAGCCATGAGCACAGCCTGTTCAGGGAATGGAGGGTGGTACCAATGCGGAGAGCGGGGAAAACGCGAACGCGCGTCCGCTTCGCACTCTGCGCGTCTTTCGTGGATCGCGAGCTGGGATCGCTCCCAACTCCGCTTCCAACTAGAATTGCGGGGGTTGGTGGCAACGTGAAGGTTGGCATGACGGCGATAAGACATGTAAGCAGGGCCCTGTTCCTTCTCAGAGATATGCTTGTTGTACGCGCCAGCGCTGAGCCGAACGGCGACAGGGCATCCGATGTGAGTGAGGAGAAGAGGGAGGAGGAGGTAGAGGAGGACGAGGAGGAGGAGAAGGAGGAGGAGGAGGAGGACGTGGAGGAGGAGGAGGAGGAGGAGGAAAGAAGAAGAAGAAGAAAAAGAAGGAGGAGGCGGAGGGGGAGGAGGAAGAGGAGGAGGAGGAGGAGGAGGAGGAGGCGGAGGAGGAGGAGCGCGCGCGCGGGGACTGGCCGCACCTCCCTGCGAGCCGCGCGGGATGCCGCAGAGGCTGGCCGGGCCTCCTCGGCGCCCATGGCCCCGAGTGGCGGCCGCTGCAGCGGAGACGGACCCCACGACTCCCCGCCGAGGGCGCCGCTGTCGCCGTGGAGGTTTTCTGAGGCCTTCCCTGACACCCTCGCGTCGTAGAAAGGAAGAAACAAAAAAAACAAGAAACACGAAAAACGGCTGATCGGTTTTTGCAGTCTGCGGCCTCCACGGGGGGCTCACCGTTGCCCTACAAAGAACGCACTATAAGGATGCAAGGGCCTTGGAAGCCCATGTCGACACTTCGCAAGCGGGGCGCGGCCAGCGAAAGCGGCCAAGGATGGGTCGAAGGGGAAGAATGCAAGGGTAACCTTGCAAAGTTGCTCATCCTTACTATGCGGGCTGACTGCACTGCACTCCCACAAAAAACTCGGTGTGCAAAGCTGGCCCCTGGAAAGGTGTCCAGCCCTCTGGGGAGCCACGCTGCGAAAACAGACACGACGTCGGATGTCTGGATTGACGTGGCCTTCCGGCGTGCCTGGTCGTCTCCGGCGACGTCGAAAGCTTCGCAGATGGTCTTCGGAGATCTCTCGAAAGGAGCAGGGGAAGAAGCAGGAGAAGAGGACGGCGATGACACCGACAGGGGAGGAGAGACGGGTGGAGAGGAGAAGAGAGGAGAGGAGAGGAGAGGAGAGGAGAGGAGAGGAGAGGAGAGGAGAGGGGAGAGAGAGGAGAGGAGAGGAGTTGAGAGGAGAAGAGAGGAGGGGAGGGAGAGGAGAGGAGAGGAGAGGAGATAGGAGAGGAGAGGAGAGGAGAGGAGAGGAGAGGAGAGGGGAGGAAAGGAGAGAAAAGATGAGGGGATGAGGAGAGAGGAGAGAGGAGAGGAGAAGAGGAGAGTCAGCGACTCCGAAGAGTGTGATTTGCAAAGGGTGGTTTGCAACCCGCGCCTGGGGTGGGGCAGACGAGGACCTTGGAAGAGATCTCTGCCGCGCCCCGGCGAAGGCGCAGCAAACCTTTGGCGCACCGTGGTGACCCCCAAAGCCCCAACGGCGCCAATCGCAAACCACATCCCAGCGTAAACACATCCATTGTAGTCGCCGAGAGAGGGAGAGAGAGATGGAGGAGGATAGAGGAGAGAGGAGAGAAGACACAGGGGGGAAGAGCAGGAGGGGAGAGGAGAAGAAACCTGCCCTGCTGCTCTCCCGGCAGTGCCTGCACAGCCTGCTGGTTGAAGGAGTGGCTCAGGGCCTCCAGGGCCGTGTTCTTGACCTCGAGCTGGGGAAAAAGAGCGTGAGGAGAAGAGGGACGAGGGGGACGAGAATAGTAGGAGATGGCAGGAAAGCAGAGTAAAGGAGGATGAGGAGGAGAGAAAACAAATCGGAGGACGGGGAGGAAGGAGCAGGAATCACAAGAAGGGAGACGAAGAGGATGAGGAGGAGGAGGAGGAGGAGGAGGAGAGGAGGAGGAGGAGGAGGAGAAGGGGGAGAAGGAGGGGGAGAAGGAGCGATAGCGGGGGAGAGGGACAAGAAGGATGAGGAAGAGAGAAGGAACAGAGGAGGAAAGGGAGAAGAGTTGGGAGGGGAGAGGATAGAAGGAGAGGAGGAGAAGAGAGGATAAAGGGAAGGAGGAGGAGGAGGAGGAGGAGGAGGAGGAGGAGGGGGGAAGGATGAGGAGCGGGAGAAGGAGGAGAATGAAAGAGGTGGACAAGCGGACGCGAAGGGGGAGGGGGGGAAGGGGGAGTGAGGGAGAGAGGTGGACAGAAACAGGATGAGGGAAAGGAGGAGGGGGAGGAGGAGGAGAGGGGGAAGCCAACCCGCAGCGTGGTAACACAGACGTTCTGAACACGGCATGCGCTGCGTTTCAAAACTGGCGTATCAGGGCAGCTAAGCTTCTTATCGCTCGGACGTCCATTCCCGTACATTGTTAGGTTTCGTGCGCAAGTTCTGTCGTCCGCAAGATGCTCGTAGGTGGTCCAGGTTTTCCTCGCCGACAAAAGTGCACACGCTCGAGCGATGGCAAGCTCTTTTTTTAGAGGAACAAAAAACTGCGTCATCAGATGTCCGCGCGGATTTCTTGCATCAGCGCTGGAGCCCCCTGGCGGCGCCTCCAGCGCCGCTTTGGTCGCGCTCCGCGAGCCGGGGAGGGGGGCGCAGCGCCGATCCAACGAATCCGCGCGGAGCTCCGAAAGGTTATGTTTGCGGTGCTTGTTGTTCCTCGATCTCTGCGTCGGCGGCGAACAGGGGGGAAATGAAAAAGGAGGCCTTCTCAGAAGGCTCGGAAGGCCTCGAGCCTCCTGAGAATCCCACCAGCCCTCTGGGCGTCGGTGGTTTAGAGCGTTTCCTCTTCCACCCCTCCTTCTTCCCCTTCGGGGAGGGGTTTACCCCTCCCCCTACCCCCTCCCCACTGACCTGGACAGGGGGGGCCGCGGGTAGTTAGAGCGTCCAAGACGGCCCAACACGGCTCCAATAGGGCCTCAGGGAGCTCAAGATGACCTCCAAGATGGCTCAAGATAGCGCAAGATGCCTCAAGATTGTCCCCATGATGTTCCAAGACGATCCAAGAACTCCCCAAGACGGTTCCAAGTGCCCACAAGAGCATCATTAGGATGCATCCAAGAGGCCAAAATGCTTCAAAACCCCAAGGAAAATCAATGTTTTTGGTGTTCTCACTTTTTCGGTCGCGATGCACATCCGACGCGTCAAGATGGCTCCAAGATGGGTCAAGATAGCTCCAAGAGGGGCCCAAGAGAGCCTCAGGATGGTTCCAAGAGCGGCCACGAGCGCTCCAAGAGCGATCCAAGAGGGGTCCAGGAAGCGATTGTTGGAGCTCCTGGGGGGGGGGGGGGGGCTGTAATTAGGGAACCCCACTTCCTTGGCCGACGTCCTCCAAAATTGCCCCAAGAGCGCCCCAGCAGGGCCTTCAAGGGCGCCCAGACGGGTCCAAGAGGGGCCCAAGCCTCCCAAAACAGCTTCCCAAGAGACTCCCAAGAAACCTCAAGAGTCTCCCTGAGGCCATTGGAAAGCTCCCCAGACGTCTCAAGAGACTTCCAAGACTACTCCGAAAAGAGAGCCTAGGAGGCTCTTATACTCGTCATGTCTCTTGCTCATCCTTCTCTTCCTCCTCCTCCGCCTCCGCCTCCGCCTCCTCCTCCTCCTCTCCTCCTCCTCCTCCTCCTCCTCCTCCTCCTCCTCCTCCTCCTCCTCATCATCCTCCTCCTCCTCCTCGTCCGCCTTCTCATCCTCTTCCTTTTCCTCCTCTTCCTCATCATCATCCTCTCCATCATCATCATCCCCATCATCCCCATCATCATCATCATCATCATCATCATCAGCATCATCATCATCATCATCACCATCATCATCATCATCATCATCATCATCATCATCATCATCATCATCATCCTCATCATCATCATCATCCGTGTCTGCCTACTATGATATTCCTGCCCCCCTTCTCTTTATCCGCCAGATCACATGATTGTCCCGAGAAACATGTGATTCTTCCTGCTCACTCCCTTACTCGACGCCTCAATTGCCATCTATACTGTCCGAAGCAAGCTACAAAAAGCGTCGGATGCGACTGCTGTTGCAGGAGATTGCGGCAAGGCCGCCAATTATCCTCCGCCTTCTCCCCCTTTTCCTCCTCCTCCTCCTCCTCCTTCTCCTCGTCCGCCTTCTCATCCTCTTCCTCCTCCTCATCATCATCACCCTCTCAAATCATCATCCGTGTATGCCTACTATGATATTCCTTCTCCCCTTCCCTTTATCAGCCTGATCACATGATTGTTCCGAGAAACACGCTATTTTTCCTGAGCACTCCCTTACTCGACGCCTCGATCCCACCAGCCCACTGGGCGTCGGTGGTTTAGGGCGTTTCCTCTTCCACCCCTCCCTCTTCCCCTTCGGGGAGGGGTTTACCCCTCCCCCTACCCCCTCCCCACTGACCTGGACATGAGGGGCGGGGAGCGGTCAGAGCGTCCAAAACGGCCTCGGCGAAGAAGCCAAAATCATTGATTTTACGATGGTTTGGGCCCCATTTTGGCCTTCTGAGGGGGCAGCGCTAATTGAAGCTCCCCTCTTCTTCGATCGATTTCCTCCACGATGGCCGCAAGAGGCCCCCAGGATGCCCCAAGAGGCCGCAGGATGGCCCCAAGATGGCCCCAAGAGGCCCCCCAAGAGGCCCCCAGGAGGCCCCCAAGAGACCCCCAAGAGGCCCCAAGAGACCCCCCAGAGGCACCCAAGGTGCTCCCAGAGGCCTCGGCGATAATGTCAAACCATTGTTTGCACTAAGGTTTTAGCCACATGTTGGCCTCTTGGGGGGGGCACTGATTAAGATGACTCCAAGAGCGCCTCGGAGAGCCCAAAATGACCTCCAAGATGGCTCAAGAAATCCCAAGATGTCTCATACTGGCTTCCTCTGTGTGCTGTCCACTTCCCTGATCGAGGCAATCCCACCAGCCCTCTGGGCGTCGGTGGTTTAAGGCGTTTCCTCTTCCACCCCTCCCTCTTTCCCTTCGGGGAGGGGTTTACCCCTCCCCCTACCCCCTCCCCGTGGACCTGGACGGGGGGGGCCGCGAGCGGTCAGAGCGTCCAAAACGGCCTCGGCGAGGAAGCCAAAATCATTGATTTTACTGAGATTGTGGCCCCATTTTGGCCTCCTGCGGGGGCAAAGATGGCCCCAAGCAGCGCCCAGGAGGCCCCCAAAGGCCCCAAGATGGCCCCAAGAGGCCCCAAGAGGCCCCCAGGAGGCCCCAAAGAGGATCCCGAACGGCCCACAGAGGCC